TCGTGCCGTTTTGGAAGTGAAAATCAAATTGAAACATTGAAACGTTTATTCAATCCATGATATTCTCTATTTTAATCGATGATCTGCTGCCATCGTACCGACAATTCCATAATTCCCTTCTCGTAAAACTTCTAGGACTTCTGAGCAAAAAAGTCATCCAGCTTTTTGACGTCCTCCACAAAAATGAATGATTTTCCCTGAAAATTATTCTATAAAGTGCAAAACAAATGTATATCCAATGGAGCAATATTGGGAGAATATGGTGGCAAAACATCCTTAAGTATCCGTAGTTTTTAATGAATCTGCAAAGATGTATGTGGTGTCGTGTTATCGTGATGAAATACAACACCTTTTCTGTTCAGCAATGCCGGCCGCTTTTCTGCAATGGCGCGCTTCAATTTCTCTAATTGGGCACAGTATTTATCAGAATTGATGGTTTTGCGGCAGCAGCTCGTAATAAATTACTCCAAAGTAATCCCATCAAATCGATAATAGCACCTTTCTCCGATGCAGCTTTGGCCACGGTTTGGGCCGACTCGCCGCGTTTTTGCCATGACCGTTTTCGCAAGACATTTTCATATAAAATCCATTTCTCATCCCCAATAACCATGCGGTTTAGGAAATTGTCGAATTGGTAACGCTTCAGCAACAAATCACATGTGGAAATTCGTTCGATGAGATTCAGCTCAGTTAATTTATGCGACACCCAAACATCGGCCATCCCCAAGCGTTTCAAATGGTCGGCGATGATTGAATGGTATATATTTAAACGTTCTGCAATCTCCCGCTTTGTGAGATGTCATTCGATACCATGGCCAAGAGTTGATCATCGACATCCGCGAATGTCCAGAGCGAGCAGCATCGGTCACATCCGAATTTCCAGAACGGAAACGCGCGTATCACTTTCGACTTGTGCGTTCACTAATAGCATTTTCCCCATACACAGTACATATCTTTCGACGAACATTCACAGCGTTTTTGCCTTTCTGATAATAATATAATAAAATGTGCCGAAAATGTTCTTTCTTGTAGTCCATTTTTATATGATTGCAATACATACACAACACAATTCTGTGCAATTAAAATATTTGTAAAGTGTTAAGCATAGTGTTTCCTTCCAAATGATATATAGAAGTCATATCATCAATTTACTTCATATCATTATTATTTATATTGCCAACGTAATCTATCGGAGAAACGGCATAAACTTTTCCAACAACTTAATAATATACAAGAACGCAAAGAGATAAAACTATTCGGAAACGTATTGATAAGAGGAAGAATACGAGACAGAAGCTGGAATTACTTGATAAATCGATATATCAATGATTTAATATCTACACAACATTTCTAATGACAAAATTGATTTCTGATTACAATAGATAAATCAAAGTTGTAACTATTATATTAATGATGTACTAATTTATTAAGTAATTCCAAATTCTGCCTCGCATTCTTCGTCTTGTCAATACTTCCCGTATAATTAATTTTTATATCATTATAGAATGTTCAAAAAATCAACGTCTCAAAGATGTCTAAAAAATAACATTTATTGAAAAATAAGATGTCTTTAAAACATCCCAAAGACGTCATAAATCGCGTGATAAGATGTCATAAGACGTTTTAAAGACGTTTTAAAAATGTCTTTTATATGATTTAATAAAACGTCTTATAATATTTAAGACGTCTTTTAGACGTCTTTAAGGGGATCCCAGTGACGGGAATTATCGACACATTACCACAGCACCAAAGAACTTTTTATTGGCTTGAGATTGCAAAATCCTTTCAGGCAATTAAAATAAGATTGCAACGCCATCTACTAAAATTACGTTGCAATCTGATGAAAGACAAGGATGAGTACACGAAAAGAAAGACGGACGATGTCGTCGAAATGAGAAACAATTATACGCATATTGTTGATGCTTAGATCTTTTTTGTTAGGCTTTTGATTGTAATTTTACAAGCTCAGTATTGTTCTTTAAACTAATTCGAAGTGCGGAACTGTATCATTTTGTACATACAAAGCTGCAAAACTTTTATATTCGTCGAAATAAGACATCATGTTTCTACCTTGCATAACATAATACAAATATACAAATTGTAACTTAGAAATTTTCGCAAATATATCTGTCATACGTTTTGTTAACTATTTCAATCATGTATGCAATAGAAATATCAGAATCGAAACGGTAATCGAAGTTTTGTATTGGTAGAGTGGCAACGTATGAGACTTGTCACTGTGCGAAAAGCTCGGATTCGATCCCCAGTCACTCTCCGTAGGAGATTATGCTATCCGCTTATACCTCCTTTTTTTTATCTTTCTTACAATAAACTACATAAAATATATGACTGATGTCTGAAAAATTTAATTAAGAATAAAAAATTTTTAATAACATTTTATTTGCAAAATAAAAACGTTATGGCGCTGTATATTTGTGAATTTTTATCATGGTGCGGGTGTAAAATTTACAAATATGTAAAATATATTTATAATATTTATATATATA